GTTGGTGTGATTTATAGATTTGTTTTTCTTCAACAGTCATACTGAATTCGAGTCCAATAGATATTCAAAACAACTTATATAAATGCTGAACTGCTCGACGCAGACAGCCTTTGGCTGTTTCAACCTCACAAGATCGGGTGTTGCCATCTCGGCCAGCCTTTAATCTGACAATGCGGCCAAGCCGCCACAAATGTCTAGGGACATTTTCTTGATGGATTATAACAACATCGCCGACTCGTAAGGTTCCGCCATCCGCGGATTTTCGATTATGTGCACTCTTAAGATATAACAAGTATTCATTGCGCCAACGACGCCAAAAACTATTGAGAATCTTTTCTCTTGCTCGCCACATTTTTACAAGAGAATCGCCTCTTAATTCAGTGGGTGATATCTTTCCACCTGGTAGCGAGATTGGCAGTCGGGAAGCTACGAAGTGTGCTGGGGTCAATGCAATGGGTTCCTCGGGTGAATTTGGAATATGCGTGAGCGGTCGGCTATTAATTACCGCTTCGACCTCTTTAATGAGCGTGAGAAATTGAAACAGAGGCAAAATATGCGATTTCAGAGATCGTTTGATACAATCTTTGACAATACGCACTAGGCGCTCGAATTGCCCGCCCCACCACGCTGCTTTTGGCGCATTGAAGTGCCATTGTATACCTGAGGCGCCAAAGTACTGTTGCACTTCAGGCGTTGTCAACGCCTCCCACAGCGATCTGACTGCCTTTTCTGCACGAACGAAGTTAAGACCGTTGTCAGAGTTAATTGTTTGTGGTAGACCACGTGAAGCGACAAAACGCTTTATGGCATCTATGCAACTGCCACCGGTCAGGTCACTCACCACCTCCAGATGGAGAGCTCTGGTTACACTGCATGTAAACAATGCAACCCAGACCTTTTGATCTGATTTAGCATTTTGGACAGTTAGTGGGCCAAGATAGTCCATTCCAACGTGCTTGAAAGGTGTAGAGAATCCATCAACTCTTTCGATTGGAAGAGGTGCTTCGATTGCACCTCCCGGGTGAGCGCGCTCCCGGATGCAGGAAGGGCACGCATAGATTACGCTTTTGACAAGTTGTCTCGATCGTAAAACCCAATATTTTTGACGGAGGTTAGCGAGAACAACATTTGTCTTTAAATGACGAGAGCCTTTTACATGGAGATCGTCAATAATAAGCCGAGTTAAGTGATCATCGGCTAGAAGGATCGGGTGGCGCACGTCATATGGTTCATTCATATTTTCCAGACGGCCCCCCACTCGAATCAAACCTCTGTTGTCAACAAACGGTTTGAACGAAGCGATGCGAGTATCATCGCATTGATCGCCTTGTTGTAGTTGTGTTTTGGCATTAGCGAAACATCGCTCTTGTGCTTGCTGAATCAGAATTTCTTTAGCCGCTTGTAGTTCAAATCCCTGTAGAGGTTGTTTGTCAATATTCAGAGCAGGCACAAGGTCGAATGCTCTTTGTTTTGTCTCGGTGGCCGTATTGTCGGTAGGCTGACCTGTACTCCCCCCATGGCAACACTTGCGCTTGTGAGCTTTGTCAAGAAGAACTCGACAATAACGCCGAATAGTGGCGAAAACTCTAACAGCTTTGTTCAAGGATGAGTACTTAGTTACGTCAAACACAGGCGTCTGCACCTGCACGTGAAGAGATGTAGTCTCCGTATTCACTGATGCTTTGGCAAAGCGTGGATATTCCTCTAATTGCTTGAGGAAAGGCGGGCCTTCAATCCAAAGAGAAGACTTGCTCAGTTTTTCAATGGTGCAGCCGCGTGAGGGCAGATCTGCCGGGTTATTTGATCCGTCAATATGTGCCCATTGCACCGGTTCGGAAAGTTGTAATATCTCTTTCAGCCGATTGCAGATGAAAACGCCGTGTTTTTCCGGACTGGCACCGTGAATCCAGTGAAGCACATTCGTTGAGTCAGACCAAAGAAATTTGGGGGCTGACTCTAATTGGAGATGTTTTGCAACAAAACGTAAAAGCCGCGCAGCACAAAGGGCGGCAACGAGCTCTTTTCGTGGAATACTCATTTGCTCCAGTACTTTGATAGGCGTAAGTTTGGCCTTGGAAGCGACAAGCTGGATGTTTACATTTCCATTTGTGTCAATACTTTTGAGATAAATCACCGCGGCATAGGCGCGATCGCTAGCATCTGCGAACGCGTGTAACTCCTGGAGCCGAATGGGGCCGAGTTTGTTTGTATAACATCTCGGTATCTCAAATTTCTCCAGCTGATCCAGCTGATCGCACCAGCCAAGCCAGGCTTTGAGCAGATCAGCTGGCAGAATAGCATCCATGGTCAACTTTGCCTTGTGGATCTTTTGTAAGATCAGTTTCAATTCCATAATGAATGGAGAAATCAGACCTAAAGGGTCATGGAGCCGCGCAACTGCTCCCATAAGGGTTCTTTTTGTTGGCTGCGAGTTGCGCACGAAATTGATAAGCTCGTTTCCTTTAAACGTGAGCACATCCTTATCCTCTTTCCAAAAAACGCCGAGTACTTTGCTAGTTCCAGTAGGAACAGCGAGAAAATCTTCGTCAGCAGAAGTGGTTGAGGAACTAAAACGCCATTTTTTCATCACCATGCCGGCGTCTGATAGAACTTCCGACACTTGCTTTTCGAGCTGCTTTGCCTCTTCGATGGAATCAGCGCCCGTGAGCATATCGTCCATGTACAGATGCTCAGACAGCGCGAGAGCGGCACTTGGGTGGGAATTGACGTATTTTTTAGCGTGCTCCCGGATGACTGTTATGACGTTATATTGCGCATCTTTAACACCAAAGGTATTGCGCGTCATCCGGTAAAGCTGCAATTGTCGTAGATTTTCGTCCCGAGCCCATAAGAAACACATTAGGTTTCGGTAGTCAGGGAGAATTTCGACCGTAAGATAGGCTTTCGAAATGTCGGCTGCCACTCCAATCTTGTGCTTTCGGAACTTTAACAAGATTTCGACTGATGTTGGTAAGAGGTTTGGAACATCAACAATACAGTCATTAAGGGAAATTTGTCCTCTTGTATGTGAAGAGGCATTGAATACTGGTCGGACTTTGTATGTATCTTTGCTGGGATTAATTACTGGGAAGTGTGGCAGAACAAAAGCTGGACTTTCTCCCTCAGGTAGCGGCTCAGCAAAGCCATTTTCAAAAAAATGATTCATTTCCGCAACATAAGCGTCTTTGAGCTCGTCGTTAGATCGTAGCTTCTGTAAAAGCGAACACGTCTGTTTGCGAGCGAGAATCATGTTGTCCGCCAGTTTTGATACTTTTGTGTCATCTAAGTTCAATTGACACGAGTAACGACCTGTGAGCGTATCTTGGGTAATGCTCTTTTTGAAATTATTATCAAGAGCTTCGAAATCGGGTTTGGAGTCTAACAGCTCCTCAGGTTGGATGCCTACATGTTCGAGCTTCCAAAAATCTTCCAGAGAGATTGGAAGAGAAATCATATTGAGGGGGTCAACACTTGGTGTAGCTTGGGTAATAGCCACGCATCCAAATTTGGTTGTCATCAACGCCAGTGAATCGTTGACAACCTGCATGGGACAGCCGTTAGTGATACGTGCTGTATCGAAGGCACTGAACAGAACACCCAGCTCCAATTGGCCGTGTGGATCCTCAGCCCAGCTGACGTTCACCGCGTCGCGAACATGCTCTGGACAGCCGTTAGTGATACGTGCTGTATCGAAGGCACTGAACAGAACACCCAGCTCCAACTGGCCGTGTGGATCCTCAGCCCAGCTGACGTTCACCGCGTCGCGAACATGCTCTGGGAGCAATGGCAATTTACGATTTGAAATCGTGTGGGTGACAAGTGCATTGAATGACATTGTTTCTCCCTTTGCCGTACGAATGTTGAATGAAACAACGGGGAATTTTTCAAGTTGGCCTTGAATGCCTCCAAAAACGTGGACATATAGCCACTCATAGCTCTTTGGCTTTAACTGGAGAGCGTCAGCGCACTTCGAAGTAATGTAAGTGCGCTGCGATCCGCAATCCAAAATGAACCTCGCTGGTACTTTTGATTGACCATTTTCCAAACATATGTGACCAGTGGGGAGGAAAGTGTTGTCAGGTGCGGTCACTTGTACCAAAGCGCTAGCTGAGCAGAGGATTGGGAGATGGCTAGTCTCTTTGCATTTTATGCAACAAATTTTTGCTGCGCAGGAGTCAGTCGTATGACCTTTTTTAAGGCATCGCCTGCATAAACCTGCTGCATCAATTTTCTGAATACGATCATTCAGCGACATTTTCAGCTTACATTTTCCAAAATAATGATTGCTACCACAGAACAAACATTGTTGAGGCTTAGCAGAATGTTTTGTACCTTCAACTTTACCCTTGGATTTATATCCATTACCATTTACTTGGCTGTTTCCAGTAGGAGTTCCATGATCTGCAGAGCCGCCGAAATCATCGTGTGCCGTTGACCCACCAGACATAAACATGTTCATAGTGTCGTTGTTATTATTGTTTACCTGGTTTGATCGAAAAGGGTGTTTGGGGCCTCTACCACTGGGCGGCGCGCCGTCAGATTTTTTGGCTATGCGCGCCTGTTGATCTCTTGTAGCAACTTCTTTGCTTAAAAATGCTCGAAGGCCATTGAATCTAGAAACCAACTTGTCTGAAAGCTCAGTGGTGGCAACGAGAGAGGGAAATGGCTCATTTGGATCAATGGAAGTAATATCATCGTCTTCCTCAATAGAAGACAAGTATCTGAGAACCAGCTGATTTGGCAAGGATTGAATGAGTACGGGGTACATAAGGCCAGCGTAATGCTGGGCCGAAAATTTCATGGACTCTAATGTCACAATATGACTATTGAGTTTATCTAATAAATCTTTGAGAAGATTTAAATCATTTGCTTTTTGCACTTTTGGAAGAGCTAGCATATTATTGAACACACCAATAACTATTGTCTCCAGATTGCCATACCTTCTGAGAAGATGATGAACAGCTCGTCGATAGTTGTCTCCCGTAGGCGGAATCCCATGAATCGCACGCGCTGCTTCGTCGCAGAGATGATCTCGAAGGTACTTGAAGCGCTGACCGTCCGTAAGATAGCTTCGATCGTGAACAGCTGCGGTGAACTCCTCCCAGAAAGGGATAAACTGGGCGACGTCACCTCCAAAGCGCCTGATCCGGATTGTAGGTAATGCGTTCGAATGCTGCTCCTGCACCGACACAAGTCGCCCAAGCAGGTTGGAAACAACATCAGGTTCTGGTTGTTCCTGCTTAATTCTATTGGCTGATATGACTTGTTCGAGGATTGTTTTGAGATCGCCATTGATTGCACTGACTGGTGGGAGAACAGTCTCGATTTTTGCCAACATATGATCGAATTTTTCTTGATATTCTTCAGCTGTTTTGAATTGCTCGTCCATCAATGCTTGATTTGCTTTTGTTTTCGAGACTTCTTCCATCCAACTATTGTCATGAGTGCAAATGTCTTGTCTAAGACGATCGATTTTCTTGAGATGCTTCTTTAGAGCAAACAAGTCGTTTTCCTCCACATCTTTTTCCACGATTGGAAGAAGATCATCAACTTCTGTTCGGAGCTTCTTGAGCATGTCGTCAATCCGCACTTGCTTTGCTGTTGCTGCCATGGTGAACCGGTATCTGTATTATGCTTCAGATACTACACGTGTTATAGCGTGGCATAGGCCTAACAGAACATAACGCTGTGGCTGGTTATAATGACACTGCTAACGCGGCGACCACGAATTTGAGAACAGCACACACGAACAAGTTCACGAAAACAGTTTTTAAAGTTTACAGAGGAAAACATACATGACACACGAGAATATTGTCACTGGCACAATGCAGTCTTGATGACCACTATAACGACCACGCAAAAGAGAATACGCGGATACAGTAACTTTTATAATAACGCTGGAACGGGGGAACTGTTGG